GATAGCCCTATAATTTTTAGATTGCCGGGGACAGGAATGTTCTGTATTAGTTAGCTCACTGTCCCCGCTGTTTAGTTTAAATATTCCTCCAGAAAATCTGTGAATTTATAGCCAAGTAACTCAGTCCCTTTCTTTGATGGATGCAAACCATCTCTTTTGTACATTTCTTTATTGGACCATCTGCTGACATCGTGACTAAGCCTCTCTCCGTTTTCTGATCTTAGGACATGAATTGCTTTATGCGATCAGTCAGCAGCAGCAGCGATTCGGCGACCTGCGTGAGCTGTTTGCACGAAGGCTAGCCAGTCACCTCAACAATGTCTTCGTTCAACAGGTGCTGCTTTTCTCTTTTCTCACTTTGGGGCTGGTTCCTCGCTTTACTTTTCAGAGTTTTCAAGAAACTCTGTCCTAGTAAAAGCTGTTTCTTAAACATCTCCTTGCGCATCTCTCCATAACGAAATTTGGAATAGAAAACAACGTGAAGTTCATGATTCCTGGTTGCCAGTATCCTTTACGCAAAAACCAATCGATTTCCAGTGTGCATCTAAGTCAGACATGTCAAACACAAGGCCTGGGGGCCAGATGCGGCCCGCGAAGTGGTTTCATGTGGCCCGCGAAGCCATCCTGGAAACAGTGAGGGAACGGCCCCCGCTGCCTTGGCCCTGGCCCACGCCGGCCGGGAGCCAATGTACAATTTTGTGGTAGCCATCTATGCTGAAACGCATTCAATCTTAGCTCCATAAGCCCCCCCCCCGGCATGGCCTAAGAGGAACAGTGAGGCTCCTCCAGTGGACCATGCCTTGGCACTTGCCCCGGTCCCACCCCCTTCTGCGAGAGACCCTCAGATCTGTCCCACTCCTGCCCAGGCCCCCATAGGCACCCTTGATGCGAACGATGTAGAGCTGGCCACACCCACCCAGTAGGCCACACCCACTCCATCCACGCCCACCCAGTAGGCTGCACCCACCCTGGCCACACCCGCCCGGCCCCCTGAGGGCAACCGCAATGCTGATGCGGCCCTCAATGAAATTGAGTTTGACACCCCTGATCTAAGTGAACAGATACTGCCTGATTTTTTTAAAATGTGGGCAATCCAGCCTCTATTCTTTTTACCGAAATTGGCATTAATTCAAGCAGCTTTGTAAACATATGGCAGATTTGGCTGGGTTGACATAACAGGTGTAGGTAAGAATGGCATTTTTTTTGTAGCACAGTTTTTATAATTATACCATATGAAAAAAAATATACCTGCGTTTCCCTGAAAATAAGACCGGGTCTTAATTTTTTAATTTTTTTTTTTGGCCTCCAAAAGAGGTCTTATTTTGGGGAGGTGTCTTTTATACTCATGTCTGGCACCGACAGCCCAGCCCAGCCAGTTCACTTCTTCTGACCAAAGGAGCAGCTTCATTCTGCAGCTGCATTCCGGCCTGCATTTCGTAGTCAGACCTTTCTGGAAGGCCTCTGCAGCCGAGTACCGAGCTATGGATTTAATTCATAGTTTAGTTCTCGGCTGCATAATCAGGGTAGGCAACCTTGGCTCTTTTATGACTCGTGGACTTCAACTCCCAGAATTCCTGAGCCAGCATGGCTCAGCTTGGAAACCTCTCTTTCCCCTCAGCATGGCTAGCTCAGGAATTCTGGGAGTTGAAGTCCACGAGTCATAAGTCCACGGCCGGCCTGGCGTAGTTTGATTATGTTTTAGTGGAGGTTTTGTGTGGGGTATTTTAGAGCAGGCCTGTTATTTAATTTGATTTTAGAACAGAAACTTGCGTATATTTATCGTGGTTTTTATTATCGCCTGTTCACCGCCCTGAGTCCCGTAAGGGAGATAGGGCAGTATATAAATTCAATTAATAATAATAATAATAATAATAATAATAATAATAATAATAATAATAATAATAATAATAATAATAATAATAATAATAATAATAATAAAAGAGCCAAGGTTGCCTACCCCTGGCATAGGTCTTGCAGAACCGAGCTATGGATTGAATCCATAGCTCAGTTCTCGGCTGCAGTGGCCTTTCGGAAAGGCCTGTGACTGAGAAATGCAGGCCTGGCTGCAGAAGACGCCGTAGAAATGGGCCGGTGAGGAGAGGCCTGGCTGCGGGGTGTGTGGGGCAGCTCCACCCCCCCATCCCTGCCCTAGCTTGATTGTTAGGTGCGTGCCTCGCCCCCAAACTAGGGCTTATTTTGGGGGTAGGGCTTATATTAGGCCCACCCCCAAAATCAAGGTAGGCCTTATTTTCGGGGTAGGCCTTACTTACGGGGAAACAGGGTATTAGTTGAGAGCCTTTGATCCAATGAAGGTGAGCATTGAGTCATATCCAGGAAGACACTTTTTATTGTACAATAGCATGAAGATTGACTAGAATAGCCTTTATCCATGTAAGCCTTATGTATTTTACTCCACAATAATAAGATAGTCCAAAAAGGCAGTGATTAATACTGTTATATGGAACAATACGTTGCCATCTAAAAGAGGTCTCCTTTGGAGGCATGTCTAGCATTCTAGAATGAATAAGAAAATAAACAATCCACGGTGTTATTAAAAGGCTATCCATGGCCCAAACATCTGAGCTAGTGTTCTTCAATCTTAATAATTTTAAGATATGTGGATTTTGATTTCCAAAATTCTCCAGCCAGCATGCCAAAGTGAAGAAACCCTCTTCAAAGAGCTGGGCCAAATTGAAAAGCAAAACGTTCCAATTGTGAATATCCTATCCAGATTCAACCTTGTGTAGGGCATGATGGATAGTTTTACTATACTATACCATAACCACTCAGTTCCAAATTTGTCCTTTGCATTTGTTTTTCCAGATTTGTCCTTAGGTTGGCATTTAGAATACTGCAAACGAAACAGATGGAAATCATACTGTGATGATGCAAAAATATAAAACAATATCCTGTTTTTTTAAGGGAATCTACTTTTCTGGATTATTTATGTACATTATTCTGACGATTAAAGAGATTGTTCTGTTTGTTAACTGAAATGTGTGAGTCATCACAAATAGATATAGATACGTAAGTGTTGTAAAATAAATAACTTACGATCACCAGGAGGATTCAAGTAAGAAAATACTTTAATAAAACCAAGCTTTCATTGGGAGCTCCCAACGAAAGCTTGGTTTTATTAAAGTATTTTCTTACTTGAATCCTCCTGGTGATCGTAAGTTATTTATTTTACAATATGAATATACCCAGGAGTCACATTTTTACGGACATTATCTATCATACATAAGTGTGTATATAGTGATCTCCAGACAGTTCTGCAATTGTACATTTATTCTAAAGTAATTCATCTTAAAGCAGCGGTTCTCAACCTATGGGTCGCGACCCCATTTGGGGTCAATCGACCATTTCACGGGGGTCGCCAAGCAAGGCTGTCCGCCATTTTTTT